TCTCTCTTACGTTTCATTATTATATTACTTGTAACCAATAAAAAGTCAAGGTTTACATCTATGAAATTATGTATTGTATAAATGTTATATTCTGAATGGTTAAATGTCAATTTCACTTAGAGTACTAACATCATTCCCATGGGAAAGTTAACGACTAGCTTGGATGAATTTGTAACGGCTCTTGTCATATAGTTAGAAAGCCAGAAAAAAATTGAGAGTTAGGGGATATTGACTACTTTTTGGTGCATTATTTAATTAAATAAAATTATTTGGTGAGTTATTACCATTAGTATAAATAACCCGATTTCTTGTTTTTCATATTTATTCTTTATTCATTATTATAAAAGAAACTAAAACCTAAAAATGAAGATCTTTTTAAGTTATTTAAGACTAGATTAGGTAAAACAATTGATAATAATAACATAAGTAAAAAGGTTCATGAGGCATGCACGCAAGCAGCTCGTGGGTAATGTAATTCGATAGCATAATGTGAGCTGCACTTTCCCTGAGTGATTTACAACTTATAATGTTGGATAGTAGTTAGACACAGTTCAAAAGGCAATAAAACAATAAAATTTAATTATAAATAGATGTATATTGTTACGAACTTAGAACTACTTAGGATAAATGAATGTAGTTTCATGTTACAATTTGAAAGAAATTAGAAAGAAAAAGGGTAATTTAGGTTTATTTTGATTTTTTTTTTGGTGGTTACGAGGTCGGTCGATTTCACCGATCCCATTTTGAGATAGGATAGAGAACATAACAAGTAAACAATAAAGTTTTACTGAAAAAAACGTTTGAAATGCATTCTGGAGATTTTAGGGATTACACAAAGGAAATTTGAGATTTTTGATATGAGAAAAAGTATCTTTAATTTTAACATGAAAATGACTTTGTACATGGACTATTCAAAACAAATACTCAATATATTCATGGACAAATCTTTATTTTATTGTAAAAATAACACTTCACTATAAAAGATGATTTTTTGTATGTGAAAGACTAAAAATATTAAGTATTAAATCTATAAAGACTTTAAACGAGTACAAGGAGGTCATGTGGTCAGTCAAATTGGTCGAATCCGTGTTTAGATAGTTAAGGGAAAGGTGAAACATGGAACATGAGGAAAGTGGTTCAAACGGATGTAAACTGTGGGAATGGAGGACCACATTAATATCCCAGTCCGGAAGGGTAAGCCGTCTTGGGGAAAAATAATCCAGAAGGAACGCACTAACAGGGTAAGGACAATTGAATCAAATACTCGACGGTATCAGGAAAAATGAAAAGTATGGGATAAGGCAGCCCGATAACTCGAGAGCAAGGAAACAGAAGACCTCCTGGTCAAAAAACCATGTGAGAAACTCCACCACTCATGGGCATGGATCAGACTTACAGAAGATTCTGGGGCCATACCCCAAACAGGCAAAATGGGGCCTAAAAACTGCTAGTCCAGTAAAGAACAGTCTGCATAATGATATGCAATAGCAAACTGATCTGAAGCCCGTGTGGGACGATGAGGCATGCTAATCCTATCACTTAATTGTGAGGCAAATTGGTCTGCATGTACCCAAATATCCGGGGAGGGGGGGGGTTCAAATAGGGATGGGAAGAGTGATTATGTAGTAAGGAAGGATGCAATTCATAGGAAATAGGGGAAAGGGATAAAATGTCACATACTTGAGAAACAAAATCCAAAAAAGACCATATTAGACCTAACTGACTCCTCAGGTGGGCCATGGGAAGGCATGGAAAAATCAGGAAATAGAAATAGGCGATCCAAGTACTCGTCCACCTGAACAGGCTCAGCTTGTTCGGGAGGAAGTGGGGCAAGGTCCAGAGACAGAGGTTGACCCATGCAACGTTCAATCACCCAGCGAATAAACACAGATAAATCTCCTGCCAGGTCACCTGAACCTGAAGCCTGAGACACAGAGCTAGTCCCAGGTGTGACCCCCGAAGTGGTAACATGAAATTTGGAATTCATAATGAGAAAGAGACAACCAATAATCAAAAGTATAAATAACAATGTGACTGTAATAAACTTGGATTAAAGTGAAACATTAAAGAAACAGTCTTAATAGAAACTAGAAGTGAAAATAAATGAAGACCACTTCTGAGTATACTAAAGATGAACACGAAACTTTAAACAAACAAAAAAGGAACACAAAACCCTGCCAAACGAAAAGTGATAGTTCGGTAGAGAAGTACAGAGGGAGTCAATATGTCACATTCCTATTGGTGAGAAGTGACACATGATGATTTACATGAGAGACATGGTGGAATCATTTGATTCAAATAGGGGGGAGCAGAAGGCTTGTGGCACGTGTAAAGAAAATATGTACATATAGAGGGCAGCACTGGATGAGAATAGCTAATCTTGTGAGAAGAGGGAAGTACCGTATCGGAAACTAATAAATTATAAGTGTAACTAAATTACATCAAGTATTTGCCAAATATTACAACACACATCATTTTTTGATAAAGTGTGCAAAAAAAGCATATAGTTACAATTCTTACTGAGTATATACAAAGTTATGAGCAGCTTCATTTCAATGAATATATGCTTCATTTTCTCAATGTGTGACATAACAGGTAAACCTTACCTTCAATTATCTCTTGTTTCATTTTGTTAATATCCTTTCTAATTTCAGTCAGTATTTCCTGTTTCAGTTTGTCTACATCCACTGAGTCGATTCCATAAGCTCTACTCATATCTCCATCTCCGAGTGACTCTTGCAAACTTCTACTGTGTTACATGTAATATAAAAGAATTGTGACAATGTATCACAATGTATAATATCAAATACACTTGTTTTACTTACTAAAGATAGTTAATTTACAAAGCAATTTTATACTAAATTCTTACTATTACAGCATTTCACATTAATAATACTTATCAACCAACTTTACAATCCACTTGGAATCATGTGTTTCAAATCATTTTGTGACACTTATATTAGATATTGAACTTCACAACAGATATTGTTATTATTCTATGCAGACAACATTTGAAATATTAGTAGAATATACTGTACAGCAGAAGTTTTTCAATTTTTGTAGATCAATTTTATCTTAAAGTACTCAGGTGCCATTTGTTTCTTAAGTTACCAATGTATTCAGTTTCCACAGTTATTAAAAATAACTAAGCACCATTTCTGACATTACTGTTTTGGGAAAATGTAAGCCTTAATAATTAAGAACTTACCTACGACCATGTATGGGAGACTCTGAACTGCTACCTAACCCAGGGCTGAAACCATTAAAAGAACTCTGTCGTTCCCAGGATCTCTTTCCTTCTGAACTTGGTGTAGTAGCTTCTCCATCCTGGTGTAAGTGAAACTCATACAATTACTATATAGCTTTTCTTTTAAATCATAATTTGCCAACTTAGAATAGGCATTTACAGCATAACATAACAGGTATAATAGTTGTTGAATAGTAAACTGAGCATGACCTATAGTAATGAAGTGAGACAAAATCATAATATATACGTGAACAGCTAAAAGGTGTAAAAGGGGCTTTGGTTAACTTATGAAAATTTTTATTAGCATCCAAGTAAATTAATTCAGCAAAATACAAGAACATAAGATAAAAAAATAATTTTAAGTCATCCACTGCCATTTATCTTTTATCACAATATACAAATAATATGTTACAGTACTAAAATTACCAGTAAACCAGTTGATCTATAATGTCTTCAAAGTAAGTTAGGGTCAGAAGTCATATGATTGACAGATCTCACAGTTTCTGCTTTCTTGTAGTCTATTATTTTACATGCTTCATTGTAGAAAAGGATATTTCATTTTATCAGTTAGTAGCAGGTAATGTTAAAACAGAGCAATGATACAATTTCATCACTGGAATCGTTTCTTCAATTCCCTTGGCCTTCACACATGTTTATAGCAGACTTAATCTCTTCTTGTTTAAGAAACTGACAAAGCTGAAATAATTCCTCATGAGTTTGAAATAAATAATCAGCTTCCAGAATTTCAATGTTGGGCATAACTGAAAATACTGTTAAAGACTGATGTATAAGCTTGTTGGTGATATATAAAAGCTATGGTGAATCCATTAAAACACAAAATTTTTCAATTTTCAATTTATTTTTTAGCTGGATGGTCAGTTTCTACATCACTGATGTCATCAAGTAATCTCTTTCTCAGTTTATTTCAGTATGCATGTACGTTGAGAAACTCCACTGTGATACACTCATAAATACATACATTGTTCAAAACAATAGTGCTAAGTTCTATCTCAACCTTTTTGCAAGACAGTATTAATGCACTGAATCAGTTCCAAAGTGCAACCCAATCACATGCAATTTTCCACTGTTCCATTTTTGAAGCCAGACTTCATGTTTCTTCCCTTGTACCAAGTGATCCTGCTTTTTTTGCAGCAGTGTTAAAAAGTGCTTGCTTAATTTCAGTACAGTTCATATGTAAAGTATGAGTGGCACCTGCTCTGGAAGACCATTTAGTCTTAGAGTGATTTCAGTAAAAGCCATCTGACTTTCAGACACATGGTCTTTTCAACCCGAGAAGTTAAATAGTTCTTGTGGTACGACATTAATACAAGATCCTGCAACACAAGTTCCAATATAGGTAAGAGAGTGAATAGAACAGGGCACAATCTTACATTGTGACTTACTGTTATTGATCCAAGCTTGTAGGCAATTGAACGTTTCAGCTATATGATCACAACAATCAGAAACTCTTAATTCTTAGAAAGTTTCTAATACAGCATCTGCAACGTTTTCAACTTCATAACCGTGCAATACTATAAATGTCCAAAATATTTCCGTTTGTTTGCCTGATGCATGAAAATATCACACTATAAATGTAACTGATCCATTTGTGAGACATCTGATGTTAGAGTCTACAATAACTGAAAGGTACCTTGTTGACCTCTGCAAAAATCATTAACAAGTCATTTTGTTCCATAAATCGAATGATTTCATAACAAATATTATGGTGTCCTCTATTTGTATTTTCAAATTGGCTTATACACTGAGCAGTGAAAGGTTCAAACTTTGCAAGTAGTTCTAAAATGCCCAGTTTCCATTGTAAAACCAGTCAAAAGTTTAATTTTGACAACAAAATACAAGATCTCTTTCTGCAAAAACAAATTAATAATCAGAGGGTCACTACCAACGTTTTCCTTCCATAGCTGTGATCATACATGTAAAAACTGATATATATTTATAATTTTCTCGAAAACAGCTTCATCACAACATGCATTCCCTGCTTGCAAAATTTTTTTCTGATGAGCACATGAACACTTTTTTCAAAGTATCATAATGACTGCCAAACCTAATGACAAAAGTATAGTTACATCAATTAAACAATAACTACATGATATGGAAGGAATACATTATTTAATTATGAAACACTTGATGAAATGTCATATTGTTTCCACAGGTGACTAAGAACATTTCTGTGCTCTTAAAACTTCACTTTTAAAGTGATCTGATTTATGTTGAAGTAAAAAAAATTGAAATTTAGGTGAATTGAGAACTTATAACTATGTATGTTTTGGGGGAAGGCAAATCTGATTGTTGGTATCTAGTAATGAAAAAATAAAAAAGGGCTAGAAATGGAAAGTTTTCTTATTTATTGTGAAGTAATCAAGTGTTTCTATTAAGGTATATTACACTTGTCATTTTAAGAAAATCAAAATTGATAATCACATAGTTTGTCACTTTAGAGAAAATACTAAATCGTGTAAGAATAAATGTAAACTCTTCAGTATGCGTAACAAACAAAATCTTGATTAAGCATTGCAGTTGTGAGATATTGATGGCTAGACAGGAATTTTAATAATCTAAAGTTGCATCATTGTTATGACTTACAACAATTAGTTAAAAACATTAAACCATTTAGAGTGGACTGCTGTTATAATAAACAGAACCAGCTACTCTTTATCAATATTTCATTTGGTAATAATAGATCAATACATTTAAATTAAAATTGTTCTTAAAAAAAAACAGAATCACTGCTCATAGTTGATTTTAAACGACCACAAAAATGATGACAGAAGAAAAAGAAAGAGGATTTGGCAATGAATTACTAATTGACACAATCTCAATGTTTGCATTCAAGATCATTTTATTTACTTCAACACATGCTCATTAAAATATCCATATGCTACCAAAATTGATTAATGATTAATCCAGTCCAATGGAATAAACAGTGCAACAATGTAGAAGTGTAAAATATAGAATGCATGAAAGTATACATGTAGCCTAATAAATCCACACTTGTAGTATAACAGATTAATTTTACAGCATCAATGAGCTTTCATAACACAAAATCTGATGTGTCAATTATAATCTTCAGTCAAATTAAAGAAACATGTTAAAAAATATTTTTATGAAAAATCAGATTACAAATTTGTTTTTCAACAAAATGATAAACAACACTTACAAAGACCAAACAGACACAGCTCATAATATATAAATTCAGATTGAATCAGCAACATTTTCAAGCAATGGTAGAAGAAAAACTTTCTAACCCAACCATTTGGAAAATAAAATGTCATTCTCTAAACTGCCACTAGAGGACTTTTTGCATATATTTAGTGTTATATATTATATAATATATTATAATGGATAAATATTAGTATTTTACAAAAAAATCCAAACTTAACAGAAATAGAATCAGCTTAAAATGTCTCTTATTACATAATTCTAAGTTTATTTTGAGTTTGAGCTTAATAAGGATCACATATGATGACATGGCACTCTTAGCCTAGACATGTGTATTATTTGACCCATGAACTGAGTACTGTCTTATTTAAAACTTTTCATAACACTTAAGTGAAAAAAAAACATTTGCACGCCCAGATTTGTTTTTTTTATTGAGAGAGTTTTTTTATATCTAAACTACACAAAACAAAGACTATTTTTCTATTACACAATTCTTCTCACATTAAAGCTATACAGTTCAGACTCATGGTAATGTTTGTGCTTACATTATTCTTCCAATTGTTTAATATCAACAATTCAGACCTGTCACAGTTTTTGTAAGTTTATTCTCCAAGTATATAAGTTAAAAACATGTTTTTCTTAATATATTTTTCCATCAGTTCAGACTAAGCACATGTTTTGTACTTATTTTTACCAACAATAAATATATCACTCAAATTTAAAATTCTTTCTGTACTTACTTGACTATTTGGATTATTCTCTACTTGTGCTCTTCTGGAAAAAAAAATAAAAATTCAACATTCCTACTAAGTAGCAATTCTGTAACACTTCTAAACATACTAAACCAATGAATATCTTACACTACTTAAAAAAAGGAAACAGCTTTCAATAGGATATGTCAAACTTACAAGTCCATTCTTTTATTCACTGAACTGTTTGATAATGTACTAGTTACTCTGCTTGTATAAGGACAGCAAAATTATTTTCTCTGCCAAATCACAACTGTTGTTAATAGTTAACTACTTCTAATACCTCTTCTGATTTTGTCCACACAATTTCAATACAAGTTGAACTGTTTGATAATGTACTAGTTACTCGGCTTGTATAAGGACAGCAAAATTATTTTCTCTGCCAACTCGCAACTGTTGGTAATAGTAAACTACTTCCAATAACATCTGAAAAATTTATATTAAATTTATACTAAAATTTAAATAATCTAAAAATGAATGAGAATTGTATCACATTCATTTATCTGATACATCAAAACACACTTACACACACATATATACAAGCTGTTAGATGCTGAATTTAATTCAAATCTGGCTTATTTTGTCTTCATCCCACATCTGCTGGGACTGAGAACTTATCTTAATGAACTATGTAATTAATTTCAGTGACAAACAGAGAAAGATACCATAGAAACAATAATATCTTCCTCAAAATTATTCTCAGAATGCTAATTCATCACTTTCATCAAAAACTGATCCTATTCTTGATGAACAAAATCTAACAGAATTTTTTTCATATACAGTTATGAAATGTTCCTTTGCTAGAAATCTACCATATAACTTGCCTTCTGGCTAGTGTTTTAGTCATTTCATCCATTAGTCCAGCTGGAGCAGGTCGATTTGGTTCATTTTCAGAAACCTATAACAGTACATTATTCTCTATTAAAGTGATAACATTTTTGTTTATAGTTGTGCTTCAGTTATTTTATTTTAATACTACTTTATATGGCAACAGTTAAAAATAATGTGAATATCACAAAAAAAATATGTGACTATTGCTAAAAAAAGAAGTAATGTTATACTTTCTTAAAATGTAAATTTAACTTCCTTTGATTTAATTTTCATATGTGAATATTGTGGAGTCACTGTTGCATAACTATTTTTTGTGTTACTTTAATATTCAAATACAATAACATACACACTATATCAAAAATATAATACTCCTTACTTCTAAAATCTTTAATAAAAACAAAGACATGTCACTAAAAACATTTTCATCTTAAAGCTACAAACATTTTAAATAAAATTTCATAAATCACTAGTCTGTTTGTAGTTAAACACAAAGGGCTATCTGTGCTCTGCCCATCACAGATATCGAAACCCGGTTTCTAGTGTTATATGTCTGCAGAGATACTGCTGTGCCACTGGGGGACAAAATCATTAGTAACCTCTTTTAAAACTATCAACAGCCACACAACCATTTAAACTTATATCACTATATAATACTTAACTCTACCTTTGGCTGCGTTGTTCTCAATTTTGCTGTCTGAAGTGCAGCAGCTAATGAAATGGGGGCAGTATTAGAAGATCCTTGTCGAGGAAGTGTTTGTGATCCTCCCAAAGGAAGCGGAGGTGGTGCTGGGGGAGCCACTTGCCCTAATGGAGGAGGTGGTGGGGGTGGAGGAACAACTGTTTGAGATGGCATGAGAGGAGGAGGAGGAGCTGGAGGTGGTGTTGACATAGGAGCAGAGGGTGAACGATGATGGCCAGAACCACTAGGTGATGCGTTTCCTGAACTGACTGAATGACTGGTACTAGCATAGCCTCCAACTGTAATATAATTTAAATCAGTTATATATTCCATCATTACTTTAGTATAAGATATAGGTTAATTTAATATGATCTACTAAGACATATAATGAAAACTATGTATCTGTTAAAGCCACATGTGTTGGTGACAGTTTCCCATTGTAATATGAATTAATTATGTTCTATTTAATAATGTAATTGTAACATAGTTTTTGTTGTAAAAATATCTAATACTAATATGGTTTCTCTAATTCCCCCCCTCCAAAACAGGTCATTAATTTTGTTTTCTACAAATTTCTATGATTGATGAAAATCAAACAAAAATCTCAAGATAACTTTGTAATCTGAATTTCAACAGCTCTTTTCATGACATTGTTAAAAGTTGTTAGTAAACACAAAGTGAAAACATTTATCACATACCTGTACTTGTTGCATACTGGACAGCAGACTGTCTTCTCTCCCCTCCCGATTCATCTCGCGTCCTGTAATAATGAAAGGTTTCAGAGATGTAACGTGTCAAAATTGCACATGAAAGCAAAACTTCTGTGCAATAATTAATGTAAATATAACCTAACTACATGTGACATAACAGGGAGGCCACTGTAGAACAGTTTCACACCCACAACTCAGTGTTTTGTGATTTTGCTTTATTACAAATAAACATAATTTTCCTTAACACTTTGCAAAGTTTAATTTGGCTACTTGTAAAATATATGCCAATAATTTGTTGACTTCTAATACTCTGACTCGTATTCTTTATATATATTATTACTAATATGACATTTACTATCATTATTAATATTAGCTAAAAAACAAACAATAGCATAAACCACCAAATAGACAGTGCATAATAGTTTTATGTCATCGCTTCATTTACTTTCAATAAATTTAATAATTAAAAGCAGATTTAAACAATTCCCTTATTTTAATGTTCATGTCACAGGCTCACATAATAAATGTTTTTAAAGCATTAAACTTCTGGCTGTCATATGACATTATAAGTTAAATTCTAACACCAATTTTGTTAGTTTTGCTATTTATAGTACTTTTTTTTTTCATAAATGATCACAAAACAGTGCAACAAAAATGTGCATTAATGATTTTTTAATTTATGTATTTTCTATAGAAGAGAATTACAAAAAATAAAAGGTTGGTTAAACAGCTTGTTTACTTTATCACTGGATAAATGCAAACTATTGTATTTATCATTGCTTATCCACACCTGACATCATGTCTTATTGCAAAGTTCAGTTTTTAAACTGAAAACTTCTATTAATTTTTAGTTAAGGAAAATATAAGTATTTAATATATGTTCCTGATCTTTTTCCAGGCAAAATTTTTGGAATTCTAAAACTTCAAAGACATTGAAGATATCATGTTAAGTTCCAGGATCTAGGAATTTACAATCCTTAAACAATCCATGTAATTGAAAATTAAAAGTAACAATATCATCTCACATATAGTTGCAAACTACAAAAGTTGATAAAAAAAAATTACTTCCTGTGTAATATGTGAAATGTATGACAGGTGGCCAGAAAGCAACAAAATTTTATTTCTTGCAGATTAATTATATCAAATTACAATAAAAAAATATCCATGGTTTTTGAAGATGTGGGCAATTGAAAATTGATTTTCGTTAAGTACAATGCATTTTGCACCATTCTTCTGTAAACTTCATCATATCAATTCATTGAAATACAGATATAGTGTAACAAATCCAAAGAAGTCTATAATTAGAACCATAGCCTGAAAGGAGAGGTGAATGAGGGTAGAAAATGAGTTGTTTTAAAGGAAATTAGTGAATTTTAATCTAATATTCAGATATTGATGTAGAATTAATATTAATATTAAAATTACTGTTTCTATATTGTGTATCTCCTATATCTGTGTATTAACAATAGTTGAAAAAAGTCTTAACTTTCTATAATAGATCATTTAATTATTCCAAGGACATTATTGTTTTTTTAAAGTAAGGACCATTCATTTAAAATAAAAATATAATAAATCCATGTAACTTGAGTACATTTTCATCATAAACTTTCAGCAGTATTTTTATCTTAGAGTGAATGTGACAAGAACACAAACGTACCATAATTCTAATTTGACACCTTTTTAAAGAGCAGAGCCACGCCTGATTTAAAAATATTTTTTACCATTGATCAAGCAGACTTTCAGACTTCAGTGTTTAATACCATAACATATCTGAGATAATTTTGCTTTCAACCTCAAACTCAACATCCAATTCACCACTCAATATTGCAAGTTTTTTCATTGGATTTGATAGCCTTAAAGGAGTGGGAAACTGCTGATTGGCAGGAAATTCTTAGACATGGTTTTAACAGTTTATGAATACTGGCCTATTAAGAAAGTCACTTGTCTGCAGCAAATATCCAGCATGTGATAAAGAAAGTCACATTTTTTTCTCGATACTCTTTGTACACTGTATCATTCACTTTGACATTAAAAACAATATTTATATTACTCCTTAACTGTATCACAACAGACTCGTGTATTTTACACGACCTCATAACTATGGTACTATACATACTGTGAATCTGAAAGTACTTAAGGTACCTTCACAAAATTTGGCAAGCTTTCAGTAAATCTATAGTCAAAAAATCAGAATTTTAAATTAAGTATTTTTACTACAACTTTGCTTGTAATTATATGGTGTCAGTGTTGACTGCTACCAGTGCAAAGTGATTTTCATGTTAAGATTAAAGATACTTTTCTTCATCTAAAAATTTCCAGATTTCATTTGCATAACCCCTAAAATCTCAGAAACAAATATCAAATATTTTATTTCAGAAAAACTTTACATTTTATCTGTTATATTCTATACTATAACTCTACACAGGGTCAGTCACTTTGATCCGAACTTGTAACCACCATAAAAAAAAGTTAGGAAATAATTCTAAATTACTCATTTTTCTTTCTGGTATGATTACAAATTGTAACAGGGAACCACAATTGTTTATCCTCAAGAGCTTAAAGCTTGTAACAGTATACATCTGTTTCTAGTTAAATTTTATTGTTTTATTGCCCTATGAACTGTGTCTAACTATATTTTACCTAATCTAACCTAGTAAGTTTCTAGCTTTTAGATTTTAGTTACTTTTATAATAATAAATAAAGAATACACATGAAAAACAAGAAATATAGAACTTACATTGTTTTTTTGTTTTTTTGCTGTTGACAGTTGATGAAACATAAGCCCAATTTTTATAATAATGGTACTACCACACCAAGTAATTTTTTATTTAATAAAATACTGCACCTAAAATCACAGAATCATAACACATAAAAAGCCCAGAATATTCTATAGCTATCACAATATTTCTGGCTTTCTAACTATGCAATAAGAGCCTTCTTGATGTGTTTCCTGTGAGAATAAAGTTTGACCTAGAGGTGAAATAGAGAGATTTCTGTACAGAAAATAATGTAATATAATACTCCACTTGATAGATCAGAACTTTGACTTTCTTTTGGTTATAAATAATATAGTATTAAATGTTAGAGAGAAATATTGGCAATTTGTGAAAGTGAGAATGTGACAGGTGGGCATGGCTAGAAGGGTCTTATTTTATAGCTTATGGCTCTATAACCAAATAAGATTGAAGGCTATAAAACTTATGCTTTGCTTGAGTAATAACTATATAATATTGAGTAATTTACATTAAATTTTGTACTTCTCAGAGTGGTGGTAAATAAATTAGAGAAGACCTAGAGAGCAAATGTCACAATTTTCATACTAGAGAAGACTGAGGATTTTTTAAAATATTTCCTGATAAAATTAAAACTTAAAATTTATATAATATTAAAATTAGATTTATTAGTTATGTTTTGATGTCAAGTTTATTTGTATATATTAATAATAAAGTAGTTTAATTGAATTTTGAATGTAGCTATGTGAAAGGTTGTAACGTGCATTTTGACATACCCGATGCAAAATGGTTAAGGTGAGTAAAAATAAAGTTATTTAGTGTATTACTCTGCATAAAACTATGTTTTACATAAATACTACAAGAACAAGTGAAATATTAATGTTCAGAAGAACAATATGAGAGAAAAACGTACAAACCAACTCCTTCTCCAGTGTGATTCTGTGCTGGTTGGCCTATTTGCTGATAGACTGGTTGTTGCTGCTGTTGGTATATTGGTTGTTGTTGTTGGTATACTGGTTGTTGTTGCTGTTGGTATATTGGTTGTTGTTGCTGTTGTTGATAATGCTGAGGCACTACAGGTGGCTGAGATGGTCTTGGAAGTGTGGAATCTAATCAAAATATAAACTTAAATATCCATGGTATTTTTATGAGCTTAACTTTAGTACACTGAGATATGACAACATGTTGGCTTGTTTAACATATACAACAAATCTCACAATGACAGGTTTATCAAGTCTCACATCATAAGCACATACTCGTAACTATCATTCTTTTGCTTTCTCTTTATTAAATATAAACCTCATATTTTCTTTTTTTTTTCTTACATAAATATAAACCTTTTATTTGGAGAGTAACATCCACCATAAAAATTTTTAACATAAAACAAATAACTGTTCTTCACTCAGAGTAGTCTGTCATCCCAGATTCATTTCCAAAACCAGAAGGATTACAACACATCAATAAATTTATTGCATTATTCCTGATAATAAAATTGTTGTATTTTAATAAAACTCATTAAAAAAATACCCTTGACCAGACACAGTTAAATGAAATACATATGACAAATAAATATAATAAATGCACATATCAAGGTTGTTATTAATGCTATTCCACTTTTAACTCAGCATTATTTTGTTAAAATCATTCTGTTTTTTTAATCAGTTACTACTGTAAAAAACAGACAGTTAAACACTCAGTTCATTTCATATTAGGCCTCATAAACTTTATCAGTTTAAGGAAATATAAGTTTCATCACAAGTTCTTGATAATTATAAAAAAGTTAAAATAAAACTTTCAGATCCACACCTAATATTCCCAATTACTGGTAAACTTTATTAACATTACAACAAATAAAAATTCTAAAGCATGGTGGGTTGTACAAGACCACCAACATTTTTCAAAGCCTTAAGACATTGAAATAATGTTAGTATAAACTCACTATTTTGATCAAGAACCTCCAAGGTCTTGGACATAGTTTGTGCAAAAGCATATGCATCATCTTTGCTGCTGAAATTGAGACCATAGACCTGACGGTTATCTCGCCATTGATGAAATGTTGGAGTTGCTTTATTGTACTTCAAACCTTTTAGAATGGCACAATTAATTACTACCTGAAAAACAATAGAATGATGAGGCTTAAATTAACATATTTTTCTAAATATCTTCTTCTAAAACACAGTAAATGTAAACTCAAAAGCCCTGAACATTCACGAAGTATAACATTTGACCTTCACAGATTATAGTTTCTGTTCCTTAGACAGAAATTAACTCATAATAGCTGCGAATATTTAGCAAAAATACCGATTAAATCAAAAAATGAAGACACATTTTAAGAGCTTTAGTTTTTGATCAAGAAATGCGCATCTGAAGATACCAATTAAGATGTTCTAATGAATGAAGTGCTGAAGAGCTATTATGAGCAAAATTCATGAAAACATGTAAAATGGGTTTTAAATCATAATGATATAAATGCAACTTTACTTAAAAGTAAAGTTCATACAAACATTTTAAGAGCTTTAGTTTTTGATCAAGAAATGTGCATCTGAAGATACCAATTAAGATGTTCTAATGAAAGAAGTACTGAAGAGCTATTATGAGCAAAATTCACGAAAACATGTAAAATGGGTTTTAAATCATAATGATATAAATGCAACTTTACTTAAAAGTAAAGTTCATACAAACATTTTTAGCATACTTGAACAAAAGAATATCAAAAGTCATGTGGTATGGATGCAAGAGAGTAACTGATGTATAGAACATGAAAAATATGTGACAAATCATAAGAGAGTTTATTTTTAACTTTCATATTATTTAAGTTAGTAAATAATTTGCATATTATTGTTTGTCTAGATTCATTGAAACACTGTTTTAAATGTTGTAAAATGCAGAGTACCAAGTAATAAGTCATATCTGAACTAAGATCTCACAAACTTCACATGAACAGTTAGTATCCAACATTCATACATTATCATAATTATTAGACATATTTGTAAACAGCTCAAAATTGCTCTCTCTCTCTCATTGCACACTCATTTTGTTCATAATGTTATACAGACATTATGTTTAAACATAATTCAGTGATTTTACACAGATTTTCTACTGAAAACACAGATCTGCATAATACTGGCATATGTAAAACACACACTGTGATAAAGTTTCTGACATCACTTGTGATAATTCAGAGTGTTTTGTAAACATCAATGCATAAAAAGTAGATGAAAACTGTGGACACAGAAAAACCAGACCAACTACCATCATGCAAATAATTAGATAGAAGAAACAGTTCAGTTTGATTGGTTAACACTTACTACATAGTTTTTAAAGCATTTCAATGATTTTATACTTGTTTAACCCTTCCAGCATGGGCTGGGAAGAATCCACGAAGGTTTTTTTATTATTTTTCTTTCATTATCTTACCTAACAACTTTCTATTTTTATGATTTTAGTTACTTTTATAATAATAAACAGTTAAAACAAATGAAAAATAAAAAAACCCGTAATTAAATATTTTTATTTTCAGTAAAGCTTTTTTTTTCGTTTTTTTTTCTTGTAATGTAACATTACAGGTTGTAGGTAAGTAATCAAAGTATAAAGAAAATAAAGCTTGCAAAATAAAATGGATAGTATTGTTAGTAGTGATTACAAAATTTCAAAGTACTTATGGTCAGAGTTTACACTCTCATCTTTTCACACTTATTTTCTGTAGTTATTTTATTGCTAGTAGATTAGTTAGAAATTACAAGAAACAAAATGAATAGTACTCTGTTCTTTTCAGTATGGACAGTAAAGTTCCAAGTAAATCTCCTGAGAATTTCTTTTAATCTTTTAACACCTATTTCCTACTGTTAGTGGCTGAAGTAGAAACCTGCCAAATATAAAGCAATGAATCACTGTTCTTGTTCAGGTGTTACCGTACTTTGACACCATCAATATCAAATAAGTTCATGCCCCATAATTCCCAGAATTTTCCCTGATTTGAAAATACAGTGGAATAGGATATATCAACTTGATGACAGTATAATGGTTACAATGACAACTGTCTAAAGTATTATAAAATGTTTATGACTTTGTATAAAGTCTGGGCAAATCCAATAAGTCAAAAAGCAGAAGTATCCTACAGAAACTATTTGGATCGCTGCTCTGAGAACACAGTAGGATACAGTAGTTGCACCAAGAATTGTCTACAGTACTTTATAAAAGTGAGAGAAAATATTCATGATATGGCTCTGTACAAAGTATAAAGTTGTATCCCATCCAATAAACTTGCTAGTTACCTCAGTTGGTGGTCAGGATTTAGCACCGGTATAGGTGTAAATGCATGTAAGTGCTTACAGACATTTTGTTTCCTATATTACCATGCTTACACAGTAACCAATAAATGTGTAGTTTCCAGTAATATAAATATGACTCGTTTTGGTTGGGCTAGTATCTTTGGCTTAGCCTTCTTGATTGTAACTTGAGAAACAAATTATTCACCAGCAAACTGCAGGATCAACCAGGTGTTTATGCAAAGATGTTCCTTTTCTTGTGTTAATATCAGTTGATCAGTGATAAATTTACTTCTTAGACTTTCACTAATTACATAATCTTCTCCTGAATTGCCAAGTTTTTAGTTTTTTATAATTTTGTTTTATTCTACCTCAGTGTAAACAAGTAGAAAAATAACACAAGTTCTTACTTTGTAAAATACAGTAACATAATGGCTACCATACGTTACATGTGTATATATATATATAAAACAGTAAATAAAAAATATTTGGAAAAACAATGATCTCTACTGCTTACATTGCTACAAAGTCCTTGTTTGCACTCATGAGCCATACTTGCTAAGCGTCATTCAAATTCACATGTGGAGATTGAAAAATAATTTTTGTAGACTTTATATAAGCATTTTGGAATCAAAATAAAATTATAAATTACTATACTAAATTATTATAAATTATATATTACTATAAAATTGTGCTACATTGTAGAAAACACGGGTTTAAAAATATGGGGGGGGAGGTTCGTTATAATCTAACATTATCCAAATTTATTTATTAACATTGATATATTTTACATTATCTGAAGGTTTATCTACTTTTGAATAACATGTTACAGTTTTGGAAAGTCTGCATACTCTCTTTTTTTACTATTTACTGAACAGCCATGTAAATAAATGATCTGAGCCAATGACTCAAACTGGACGAAGGCTATATCACTTAAGGAATGATTGGTTTGGATGGTAGAATTCAGTTGAAATGAAACTAGGATAAAAGTATGCTTGATGACACATGTATGACTAATTATGCAGTTCCCACTGGTTGGATTGTGAGTCATTTAGTTGATAGACCTGTAATGTTACTGCAATTCCACCACTGATGGGGAAATTTTCTATAATATAAACATTTCCACATTTCAGGTAATTTTTGTGTAGGTGTTCTGGAATCATAAATGTGTACTAATTCATTTGCTTAGGTAATTGTTTTATATGGTAAGTTAACATTTTTCTGAACTGAAAATGTATTTCCAATAATACTTACCTCTCTCTATCTAGGTACTGTATATATGTACCTCATTCAGATAATGGATCACTTTTTTGAGACATAAACTGGCTTTTAGTGGGGGGGGGGTGTCAGCAGAGGTAAGCATTATTGGAAACACAGTTCTAGTCTTAGAAAATATTAACTTCCAAAAGACACTTATGAGGAGATAGTGGACCTCCTTCCATGAACAATATACAAAACTGACATTGATCAAAAAGAAGGGCCATGCACCCCCCCAACCTGATAGCTTTGTGTCAAATCTGAACAGGAATTATGAGTAGGCTCCTACAGAGGTTGGTGCCACTCCTACTGACAATTGGGAAAAACATCCAGGGACATGAGCAGGAGGGTTCCCAACTTCATCTTCTTCTCCAAGAGTGGAGGAACACACTTGAATACTCTGGAGGAAAACTTCTGTCTGACACCCCAGCAACTGAAAACTGGGGTCGGTAAGGACTCCCGAGCAAACTGACCTCGATGTATTCAATCTGAAGATCAGCAGGGTCAGGCAGGATGCCCTTCAGCTTTACACGTGATAGTCCATGAGTGGCGGTCCATAATAATTAGGTAATACCATCCAGTAGGTGCCTAGATGGTCTTATGGAACACCCCATTTCAACAGAGCCTGTTGCAACCTGTAGTAATTATAGTGAAAGTGGTTGCTAGTGTGGAATTGAAAAGAGAAAGCATACCTGCCTGGGCAACACTCACCACAGAGTGGGATCCAGTGAAAAATAAAGGGACTCTGGAAATAAAAGAGTATATTATTGAGGAAAATACTCACCTCTGCTTAAAATCTAACAGATGTGGTCAAAATAGCTACAGGGGGTAGTTGAAAACCCTCAGGTAAGAAGATAGGAAAGTATTAGGAGTAGTCCACATACCAGCCCACACAATGTCTTCCAGAGGGCAATTCAACTGGGCGAATAATGACATAGAGATATCACAAATCTGGTGAGCTGTGGCATGCAAAAGGTTCCTCTCCTGTAATGATAATCCATTATATGCCATGTAAATCAATTTACGAAGCCACCTCGTTACAGTAATGGGAGATAAGTCACAGAAAATAGAAGAATTCCAGTGAATGAACAATCAATTCCTACTACCTCAAAATGAGTTAGTACAAGCCACATAATTCTTGTGGGGCCTAACAGGACATAACAAATGATCAGGATTGGAGCAGTCATAAAGGTGAGAAATGGCTGGCAAATAGATTGGTGAGAAGGATCTTCCCCTTCCCTAGCTTCCAGAGGCTTGGAAAGAAAAGACCTATCGGGTAAAACAGGACAAATGTGGAATGCTAAAGAGTCTGATGCACATGGATTTCAAACAACTCTGACCAATGACATCCACAACCGAACAACAACAAAAAAAATACAATTTCAGAGAAAGATGAAACAACGAAAATGAAGCTAAGGGCTCAAAGGGAGGATGTGACAATGCATGTAAAACAACTGTAAGATCCCAATTTGGTAACTGAAATGGTCATTTGGGTCAAAGAATACAAAAGGATTTGAGCATACCTGATAGTACTGAGGATTCAAAAATCTTCCAATATTTGGAATACTGAAAAATGGTGGATAAGGATGCCTCATATAAAGCCACCATAGACGAAGCAAGACCCCTCTCAAATACTCAGGTCATAAAATGGGAAATGGTAGATACTTTAGGATAAAGAGAGTTTAAATTCCTCTTGTTACACTATTGACAATAAGTATTCCATTTCAGTTGATAAATGGTCATGGTTGGCCTATGGAGAGATATAATTAAGTACAGAGAAACCTTAGTAGTTAAACCCTTATGTTGAGGAAAGGACCGCATAACTTCCAAGCATGAAGATTGAGTTTCCTAACACAACATTCATCAAGTTATTGTGTTATGTTCACTGTAGTATTTTTGAGGAGTTCCAGTAGTGTTCCTCTTACCATAACCAACCATTTTACTTGAGCCCGTTTGTTTATGGTAATTATTGAAATTGTCAAAACGAAATTTAACATTTGTATCAGGTTTTTTTCAAGGAATGTTGATGAGCATTTTATGGCATTTTCAAGGTGTAGGCCCAAGTTGTTTGATGAGGTATGAGTGAATCCACAATGTTGTGTTAACGATGTCACAGTGAAATTGCAAGAAAACTGCAAATATAAACTTATGAGTTGCATGTATCCTAACATTACTGTGAGTGATTTTGTTTTACTTATGGGTAGACAACTTTTTTTAAGCAGAACAACCAAAGTCTGGTTAATGGTTGTCATTGAGACAACCATTCAAAATGCCTTAAATTTGCTCACTGTAATAGCCTAGTATTTCATTATTCTTTCTGATGCTGTTGTCCTGTGTAGTCATTCAATAAAAGTTAGAAATCAGCCAGTAAATGAAATAAATATAAAAACATTAACTATTCTTGAGAAAAAATACTTTGTTTTATTTATTCAGTTTATTCTCTGAATAATATTTCCAAAATCTGCTGTATTGAAGATACTTATAAACACTTATCAGATATCAGTATACCTGAATGTCACACTAGCATAATAAAGCAGTTAAACAAAAGCTAACTGACAAGAAATTTACATTCTAAGTGCAGACTTCACTATTAGCTCGTATTCTCAATTAACATGTACATATCCTCAAGTTACAATCTAAAATGGTGTTTAAGCAGTTTTGTGTTCATGAAATAGCGAGTTTTAATTTTTTTCTAAACTTGTCAATTTACAGTTGTTTTTTTAATGAACAAACCAAATAATTTTTCAAATGGTAGATTTTTCACTTTGACAATAATTGCAGTTTCTTTCACACTATTAAATATATGTTAATATAGTAAGTGTTTATCATTTTTCTCAAATTCTGTTTATATCCAAATTTTACTTTAAATATACAGTTTTCTTTATTGCTTACCAAACTAAAGCTTAAAATGCTTAAACTCTTATTTCACACTATAATATTTATGTACTTGTCTTGCACATATACATCAATTAACTTTTCAATTCATTGAATGAAATTACTTACTTCATGGTCCTGCAACTTACGTCCAACAACTCTAAACGTGTTGTTAACCACATGCTGATAAATATGGACTTTAGAAAGTCCACTAGATGATCCACTAGGTAGCCATCGTCGGTTAAGGTCATCATAGACCATGACTGAGGCTCTAGCTGAAGCTATAGATTGTTCTGCACTATAAGAAATAACAATCTCAGCTAAGTTTGAAATTTCTTATTTTACTCACGTAAATACTCTATGCAAAAGATATGGATTTTAATTAAAATATACATCTTGTGTTTATTTTAAAATGTTATGATGATAACATACGATTAGTTTCTAGCACATGATAAGCATTTAACAAAACAAATTTATTTAACTCTCCTTATATGGCTCAGTCATTTTGATCTACCTTGCAACCACCATGTAACTACTAGGTAACCATGAAAGTATACATACTATAGCTTTTAATACTGAATGAAATTTTAAAGCTTTTAGTAAACATTACAAATCTTTTGTACAAAAAAAAAATCAATTTTTTTATTTAAGAAATTTCACTAAAATGATTTTCATGTTAGATTAAAAATACTTGATTCATCTTATAGTTTCTACAATTTATTTGCAGAACTTTTAGAACCCCCTAAATGAACGTCAAAAGTTATTTTGGTGCTACTATAGAGTGAGGTCTACCTCCTGTTAGTACTACAGCGTGAGGTCTACCGCTGCATTATCCATCCCTCATGGATATCACACATTTTCATACATTTATTTTAGCGATAAACACTTAATTTGATACATTTTTATACATGTTTGATAGACCTGGGTAGGCGACATATGGAGGTAGACCTCACGCTATAGTAGCACCGTTATTTTTCACTAAAACTTTATATTTTATCTGTTATTTTCTCTACCCTAAAACTATACAAACTCAATCCATTTGACTGACCTTGTAACCACCATTAAAAATAAGATATAAATCTAAATTACCCTTTATTTCTAGAATGATTGCAAATTGTAATAAACAATTAGTTATTTATCCTAAAATCTTCTATATTTTTCACAACAGCTTTCATTTATTTTATTTCTCTTTGAACCATGTCTAACTATGTAAACACTTGCACAAACAAGCTAAATGCTTTTATTTACATTTTCTTATCTAACTTAATAAGTTTCTAATTTTTACATTATAGTTACTTTTATAACAATAAATAAAAAATATACATAAAAAATACAAAATTTAGTATTTACATCTGGCCTCTTGTTTTCTTTTTTCTTGGTCTTCAACAAAACTTAACCCTACTTTTTGCAACAATGATGTGTAATAAACTAATTTTTATTCATTTCAATTGTGCAATTAAGAACAAATTAATAACACATACAAAGAATACAACGTCCTATTGTTATTATAATTTAACTATCTTTATAATTAAAGTACAATTGCCTTAAAATAATTCCCTTAGCTGGTCAAACCGAACTTGGTAATAACAACGATGAATCTGCATGCCAAATAATTCAAATGCTGTCATGAGAATGAGCTAACATGAAAGTAAAATTTTCTTTTTCTGTTGCTTATGAATAATGTAATAGCAAATGTTGGAGAGAATTACAGACATTTTGTTAAAAACAGGATGTGACAAAAAGTTGTAACTTTCTGGTTTCTAAGTAAAACAAGATAGTGGATGTTATAATAATTCAATTATGCCTTACTAAGATAAATATAAATCTTTAATTTGTGTTAAAACCCAGAAATTCAAATAAGGTGAAAAGATAATATAAATAGGCAATTGAGAGCAAAGAAATGTCACGTGGTAAGGAAAAGTGAAGACTGAGAACTTATTTAAATATTTCCTGTTGAAATTAAGAAATGAAGTCTCATATAATATTAAAATTTGAATTATAAAGTACACTTCAGTGCTAAGTTTACTGATGTACATTGAAAATAAAGTTGTTTAATTAAATTTTGAATATAATTCTACAAAATGTCACGAGTTGCACACTTTGACCCACTAGTATCCAGGTGATTAAACAACAACTTCATTATTCTTACAACTGTTAAAAAATGTTATAATTTCATGTTTAAATGCTAAACAGACTGTTTACAGTAAAAATACAAATGTGTTTAAGAATAATTATTACTCTTCATACAACTGTAACAACTAAAAGTTAAAAACCAGAAGATGCGTGAAGAAACCATGATCATTGAATTACATTAAACATAAAATAGGTTAAAATGTCAGTTTATTGAGTTACATTACAAAATTAACTACACAAGAAACATGACAAACCTATGTTCATAGAACTATTTTCAATCAATGGAATTATTTAAAAAAAAGATAAGGTCACAGAATTTAAAAGGATACAAAAAATACATATGGAAGCCAGGGTCACTAAATTAATCATATAAGGTATGCAAAAAACAGGATCACTAAATTAGTTTAGATATATGAAATATACAACAAAGCCAATATCATTAAATCAATTATACAAAATGCATGAGAGATCCAAGTTTAAGCTAATTATCATGAACCATGGTAATAGTTCATAATAGGTCATTGCTCATGTGTTCTTTATGATTTAATATTGTTCTGCCAGCCTACAGCAAAAATGGCTGCGAGTATTTTAATAAAACTTGGGCAATATTATTAAATGCATCATTATGCATTGTGTACGGTAGTTTTTAAGTTTATTTGACTACCTAGTAGTGTTATCAATTTACATTAAGACTTTATACTTCAAAAAGGAGTGATACATAATTATCAAAGAAAGAAGATTTAGAGAACTTACACCATGATTGTCATATGTGGTGGGTTTAAGATTTCATTTACACATTTTCTTAGCAAATTAAGACATTAAATGTTATATAATATAAAAATCTGATTTATCATGACCTCCAGTGGTGTTTCATAATAGGAATCATTCATTTGTTCTTTACTATTATTGAATATTTTTCTGCCAGCCTACAATACAGCTGTGCATATTGTAATAATACCTGGACAATATTACCAAATGCATCATTGTGCACCGTGTAGGGTAGTTTATAAGCTTATTTTACTACCTAGCAAATAACAGCAGCTGTAAAAACCATTCACACCCAATCATCTTAAGGTAGTCTGTGGTCTAATAACCTACTACATGCATACCGTATATAGCTGTGTGCAATGTGCAAGCCATGGATTGAATTTAATGTTTATATGGCAGGCATGACACCTGTACCATAGTGATTATTAACTTATTATTGCAACTGTATTGATATCATGTATCATTTTTGTATCAATGGGTCAAACATTATCTAAAAATGCTGGACATAAATCATTATTCTAAATACTTCAGAAAAATAAATTAGTTGTATCAATACTACATATTCTTCAAACTGTGGGAGTAAAAGCAATTCAAAATACCACAATAATATAAAATACCATTAACACAATCACATTTTCAATTTATTTGAGCTAAAAATGAGCAATAAACATTTACAAAGACCATAGATTTGCAACTTTGATTTTTTAAGTTGACAAGTTTTATCTATGCAAGTGGGAAGTTTAAATAAATCTATTCCACAAGTAAAAATTAGAATGGTAGCAAAAAATTTAAATTAGGGTTAGTGGTTAGATTTTTTTTTATTAGTTTATCTAAAACAGATGCTAATAAAATACACACACACACACACACACATATATATTGAAATAAAATTCTAAACCTGAACATTTTGCTACATTTTTATTTTGTAGGTTATTTGAGGAAAAACCCTTAAACTTGGTATCATTCATCTTCCTAAAAAACATGACGTGGTACAGAAACAGTTTTTATGTATGCATTAAATTGACCACATTTTTATTTTCTTTAAAATACACAATTTTAATGTGTTTTTTTTTCTCAAGGAAATATTTTTTATTTATCCACACAAATTTTCTAGATTCTTTTTCTTATGCTCAATCTCTGCCTTGATCCCTCAAAAGAAAGTTTGTGGAGAAAAAAAACTAACTTTCTTTTCACTGTTAGTTGACAAAAGCATTTATCACAAAGTATCTCATCCTTCTTTTCTCAAGATAAAATAATTCAAACAAATTAACCTATCTCCACACAATGGTCCTTCTCTGTTTATCTACCTATAATTATACAAGTCACATGTAATAGATTTTCTGCAAAAAAATATCTAGAAAATCATAGCCACCCATGAGTTCTCAATATTTTTACTATTTTGGGTGAGCTTAACTGGATAATTAATTTGTACAATGGACTTGTACATATGTGTCAAAAGTTTAAAAATGTTTATAAGCTTTATGTATAGATTATAATCTAAAAGAAAACAGGTCATGTTAAAATAATGCTGTTACACATCTACAATTATATGCTTCAGAACTGATGTAACTTTAAGAAATTTCACTTGTCTAGATGCAAGTAATTTTTATCAACATGAAAAGGCTATCCTGTTCTGACCAAGATGTTTGTTGAATTTGATAAAATAAAACATGGAACCATTTAGTCCTTCAAGTCTACCTACACATCTACTCCCAATAAAATGCACAAATTAAACCTAGCCCTTTATGTTTCAGGAAATCAATTCTCCTCTTAAACTGCTACTGGTGGCAATTCATTCAATAAACTAATCAGTAATAATCCTTTTAAAAAATACAAAACTCTCTTAACTGGAAACTTGTCTCTTTCCATATCTTAAGAGCAGGTCCTCTCATCCTATTGTTTTCAGAATTCAGAACAAAGAAATCAAAGGCCTTTATTCTATCAGTCCCTAGATAATCTTGTAAACTTCAATAAGAGTGGCTCTCATCCTTCTTTTCTCAAGAGAAAACAAGTTATCCTATTTCCATATGATAACTCTTCTGTCCCTGAAAACATCCTAGTAGCCCTTATCTCAACCATTTCCAATAAGTCAATGTTCACTTTTTTTATATGAAGAGCAAAACTGTACACAGTATTGTGATTTGTATAGAGATAATTACCTCTTCTGACTTGTATTCAATGGCTTATAAACACATCTTAATATTCCATTAGCTTTACTACAAGCAACAGAGCACTGCCTCAATGACTTGAGTGACTTATCTAATACTAAGCCAAGTTCCTTTTCTTCAGTCACACAACTGCTGTTATATACGAGGAACTGGGGGAAAGAAGGATAACAAAATGGACAGATATGGGTAGGAATGAAAAAGATAAGAATGTATTTATTTAGTACAGCACATAGAATAGTATGTGGGTTAAATAGGAAGAAAAGAATTAGATTATGCTATCAATGGTCAGGAGTGGAGGATAAACCTGATAAAGCAAGTGATATAGTAAAGGATGGTAGCAGTGATGTAGTCTTTGTAGTGCAAATATGGGCTATAATGCACGGAAGGGTAGGTCAGATGAACTATTTGTTAAGTAAAAGGCAATTAAAGGGCATCAAATGTAGATATTAGATGTTCAGCTTAAACATAAAACTCAAGAGTTTATATGTGTTTGTGAAATTTCACACAAAGCTACTAGCCATCCCTAATTTTGATGTGATAGACTAGAGGTACAATTAATTATCTCAGTAACACACAGATGAATATAAATTACAGGCATAAAAAATGATTGACTTACCTCATTTTAAGTCTTCCGATGCTGATAAACGTTCTGTACCTAAAATAAAAGTAAAAGCTAGGTTTATCTATGCCACAAAGATAAGATTTTAAATAATTAATGTGGCATGATAATAACTTTTACTGAAAATTGTTTAAATTAAAATCATAACAAAAAACTGGGGAAAGTTTCATAAAAATCATGGCATGGATGATGGAGTGTTGGGGTTAAATTATGTTTGGAGATGGCTTGACTAGGTAATGAATAAAACTATTATAATATAAGTGTACGACGTTTCGACAAGATTATATCATCCTCAGGTACAACTACAACTTACAGAGATACGTGTGTCTCTGTAAGTTTAATTGTAAACTACTTGTACCTGAAGATGGTGTAATCTTGTCGAAACGTTGTACATTTATATTATGATCGTTTTTTTCATTACCTAGCTAGTCAAGCCGTCTCCAAACTTTTATTTTCTAAAAAGTGGGTCCCTCGTGATCAAATTAAGGTTAAGTTAATTACCACTGACGCTGTGATACTGATAGTTATGTGTTATACTACTACTAGTTTTTAGACCAACTTCCTTGCTTTATTTTTAAAAAGATGGAATGAATCAGTATCAATATGATTAGACCTATGACACTAGTAGTACTAACGATGACTAAATCAATTTAATATAAAATAAACCACAAGCTATAATGTTTAACTTTATGTCCAGCACAGTAGACGTTATATTCCCAAATTTATGAAATTAATTAACGTACCAAATTCTCCTCCCTCAGAGGGACGCCATTAAGGCGCGCATAGAGCTCTGGGAACCGTAACTGAATAATAATGTTAAAATCTACTCAAAGTTCGTTTTTACACTAATTTAACTTGCCATATATTTATAATTAGAGAAGTTTTAACAAAATAATAATAATGGATCCAAAACAAGTACCAAATTTCTAGCAATTACTTATTACCAATGAAACTCGTGATATGAAGCTTGCAATAGATGGCGATATAGCCATGGGAAAATGAAAAGTGTTTCCAGCTAGATCTAATGAAGCTAACTGTAAAGGAAATAATTAAGTGTACAGAATAACTTTTGATTGGAAATCAGTAAATGATTTATTCAAAATATGAAGGAAAATTTACGATAACAATATACAGCTATTTACTGTAAGTGCAGATTTTTAGGGTTTACTTCGTAACTTATTTGTTCTTACACTATTAGCGTATATGGAAGGAAAAGGCTTTTAGCAGGAATTTGTTACATTCCACCAGATGGTACTGATGAAATTAATGAGAAATTTTACAATGAGATTAAAATTTCAGCCGTTAATAATTATGGGTGATTTCAATTTCAGGCATATAGATTGATAAATGTTAGAATCAAAACCATAAGGGAGAAAGGTATTTATAAACTGTATAAATGTTTTCTTCGCCAATTGGTCAAGGAACCTATTAGAAACAATGCTATTTCAGATTTATTGTTAACTTTTATTATAGAAATGGTTGAGAGAGTTGAAATTTAAGGTTAAGGATTGGATATGTGAGCCACTTGCTACTATTTTTGTAAGTTTTTGAATAGTGGGGAGGCTGAAACCGTTTTATTTTTCTAACGGTGGTTGAATTTTGGAACATGTTGCCTTCGGATGTTGGCAGCAAATAAGTGAGTTTAAGAGAAAACTTGATAATTATATGAACGATAAGAGTTGGCTTTGAGGGTTTTTGTTTATTTATTTAATAGTTTTAGTTTAGTTTAGAGGATGAGACAGTCTAAATGGACCAACAGTTCCCTTTTTGTTCTTAAACATTATGTTATGTTATATGTTCTTTATGATAGGTAATTAAAAAGGGAAAAACGCAGAGAGTAACCATCAGTGATTAGTAATTATTCCAACTTTTCCGTGTCAAATTATTCAGTGTCGTTAGAGTTAGTCCTTTTGAGTGGGCAACAAGATGAATAGATCACGCTTTATTATGTCTCCAATTTACGTGAGGAATGATATCAAATTACCGATAATATGTTTCCTATTGTTCATTATTGTCACAGTTTTATTTTAGTTCATTTTCCTCTGTAGGTTTCAATTTAGTTGTTGCTAACACTTGCCCTTCAGAAATGGTTGCTATTATTGAATATTGCTTAATAAGTCTAAGAGGTACACGAAGATTTAGAAATTATTCATAATGTAACAGTAGTCCATTTTATGTCATTGCTTTAATCGGTATATTTTGATGCCTTGATTAACTAATGAATGAAGAGATCCAGTGATTTGGGGTAACACTAGTAGTTGTTTTTTATACCAGTTAGTGGTTTCGGTCCTTCACCAAAAAGTCTGTTTTTTTTTGTCTCGATTCCAATCTATTTTGTTTTACCACGAGCATATCTCTTCTTAAACATTTTTGTAGTTGACTGGGAAAAATATATTTATTTTCTCTTTTAAAAGAATATAAAAAAAAACAAAATTTTAAGTTCAATTTTACTTAAAACACGAAAAAAGTAAGAAAGACTGGAACCGACTTGATACTAAAAGTCAGTCTCGGTTTAGTTTTTATATTTGGCACACATTTTAAACACTTAAACATGTATTGATTTAATTAAATTTTTTATATGAATGTTTAGGTTTTTAAAAAATGTATGTCTAAAAGATAAATTAATATCTAGCAGTGGGGCGGGATTACTGGGATGGAAGAAGGTCAACTCGCTTGGGAGTAGATGTGTTACATGTTATCTCGTCTAGTTTCTTAAACGTGTCAATGTACATAATTTACAGCTGCACAATCTATAATCATGGTAATTAGTTGTCAAATTCTTTGCTTCAATGTTAGGTATTTTACTTTAACTCGCGGTTTTAAAGCATTGTTGTCTGATATTTGGGCGTTGATTAGAGGTAGTAAAGGCATAGAACTGATGGAAATTTCGGTAGTATTCCATGATCTTTAATACATGTATCGACGTTCATACTTGAACTTTGAAAAGCTCTTGATATGACCCTATTTTACATAGGAATGTAACGAGGATTGTTGTGGTATATCTTTGGTCTTATTTCAATCCACCTAAACGTCGATCTATCAGCCTGGGTTCTGAATGATTTTCATTTTATATTTCTAATGTTTTCATTCAAACATACAAATCAAATATTATTCCTTTTCAACTATAAAAAACATTGAAACAGAAATAAGTTCGTAATAAAAGAAAATAAACTGGAACAGAGTGCGAAAGATAAACTTTTAGGGGTGGGACCAGAAATGAATTGATAACTGGGACTAGGATATATTTACTTTTGTCCCTATGATTTGCTTGCCAAACGTATTAGCTAGTTTTACAAATGGTCCTCTCTATCTGCCAAACTCTTTTTCTGGCCTTCTAAATTTCTTTGTTAAGTGGAGTCCCCCAGTGGCACAGCGGTATGTCTGCGGACTTACAACACTAGACTCCAGGTTTCGATACCCGTGGTGGGCAGCGCACAGATAGCCCATTATATTGGTTTGTGCTTAACTTCAAACAAACGTTTTAAGTGGAAATATGTCAAACAAAATTTGTTGTGATGTTTCTGTAATATTTAATCTCCTGAACAACTATGGGACTCCTATCAATGCCTTAACAATTTTGAATATCACCAGAATTCTCCTGTTCCTTTTATGATTTCTTCGGTATTGTTTATGATAAGTGATTTTGATAATTGGTAATTATTCAAACTTTCTTGTGTCAAGTTACTCAGTGCTTCTTTAAATTCCATGTCACCTTTATTAATTTTTCTGTAATTCTACCCTTTTTAAAATCTAATTAATCTGTTTGTTATGTTAATTTTGTATCACTTTGATATACAGAACATATCATGCGTTTTTTACCTTCTCATTTTAATGTAGAGTTTTTCAAAGTGTAGTTATTTCTAGGTGTGTGTAGTTTTCGAACAACTCGTGATCAAGAAAGTCTTTAAGTTGGCATTGTTCTAATTCCTTTTGGTTTGTTTTTCATGCTTTGGAGATACACCTGGTCTACTTGTGGAAGGTATAGTTGTAAAGCTGCACCTTGTACATGAAGGTCAACAACAAAGTCCTCCAATGATAGGTCAGGAGATATTTTGAGGTTACAACCTTCCTCATGTTTGAATTGAAATGAACAGTGACTTGGGTAGTGCTAGTTGTTTTGAGTAAGCTAATGTTACTGATTCAACTAAGTAATATGAGATGTACTTAGTCTGGTTCATCATTTTGAATGAGTCGGTCAGTTTGGAAATAAGTCTTGAGGGAGGGAGTATAATCAGGCTGATCAGTTCATAACTCCAATAGAGGCGACTGTTCGTCGTCAATAATGTGAAGTACACATGCTGTTGACTTGTGTTGTATAAATAAGGATGGTTTCATCGTGTGCTATACTTGTTCAGTTCACCAGTTTCTTAGCACAGTCTCAATAGCGTTAGAGGGAACTCAGTATTACTTTGCAATACATCTTGTCGAACCTCCTTCTATATAGCAAGCTTATCTAACTTACTATTTATGAAAATAGGTTTACCCAAAAATACCACAACCACATCTTTCTGCTTCTTAAAAACTGTACGTCGTTGTTTAAAATTTTTCAAAATGCTCTCACTTTCTGTACAATTAACTTCTCATGCCTGTGGCCATTGTTTTGTACTCCAAAGCGTTATTTACTGAGCTTTTCAAAGGGTTATTTTGAAACTGATAGATGACTAATGGACTTTTTGAGAAATACCTACTTAAAAATTGATACTTGAAACCTTCGGTACTTGGTGAAACTCCATAATTACAGAACCATGGTCGTAAATAAATGAAGTGTTTGTGAAACGTACAATTGTCTTTGTTTTTTTCCTTAATTCTGTACCTACTTAATGATTTATTATAATCATACAAAAAATAAAATAGATGAACTCAGTTTTACTTATTGGAAGCTCTGTGATCCAATAGAACAACATGATGAAGTTCCGCTTCTTGTTATTAATTAAAACATATAATTCACTTCAAAACAATCACAGTTTTTAACTGTGTTTACGATCCGTCTGATGCTAGTGCCTAGTTATTGAATCATCTTATATGGAGGTATAAGACAGATTTGTGGAGTTGTATATATTGATAAGGACATTAAGTTTACACACGAACAATATCTTATTGAACAGACATTTATCATTTTATGAAAAATATCTAACATCTTTCTGGTTATTTCACCAATACCTCTAAAACTTGTCTAACTGATTCAAGGTTACTTATAAGTTCAACTCCTTTTCCAAGATTCGCAAGTGATTTCGCATAGCCTAATGATATTTTCTCACATTCCTTAAAAATTCAAGTTTAATCAATTTTTATGTTATTCATACATACTGGTCATTATGTAAATACAGATTAATTTATAAGCAGTTTCCAGAATTTTAGTATTGGGCATGCTCGAAAATTCGATTAAAAATGCGAAATTTTCTTGTAACACATGTTTCTTAGGGATGAATAAAAACTGTAAAAAATTAACCCATTGCACACTATAGCATAAACGTTTTGGTTCTAAACTTATATTTAACTGCCTGATAAGTTTTTATATTGTTGATGTCATCAAATAATTTCTTGTCCCCTATAGCACTTTGAATTTGTGCTGCAATCCTGAAAGGTCTTTCCCATTCCATTAATATACTCTGTTAGTGACTTGTAAAGAAAGAAAGAAAAAACAGTATATAGTTCTATTTCAACCTTTTGCATAAAGTTGCTTGTTACACAGGATCGGCTCAAACTGCATCCGAAACAAATCATAATTACATTTTCCAGTTGTTCCATTTTCGAAGTCTGACTTGATAATTCATCTCTCCTACCATGTGATATTGACTTCCCATCAGCAGTTTTGAGAAGTGTTTGCTTAATTTCAGTATATTTAAAG